AACACATTTCATTACACCAAATACACAAAATAATGTTCTTTTTAGCAACATCATATGACCCCTTTAACTAAAACAAACTATTAAAAATCGTTTTTGGTAATTGAAATAAAGGTGAAATAAAATAATGCATAAATATTCAATGAAAAACGTAAACTTTAAAATTGGAAATGTTGCCCTGGCAACTAACTGAAATAAAATAAGTTGAAGTACTAAAATTACAAAAAACTAAAACTGAAAAAAAAATAAATCTATAGCTATCTATATACATACAATAATACAATATCATTGGGATACTATTATAGTTTTATTAATATTTTGAATTAGTTTTTATTTTTATATGTTCATGTTAATTTTAAAGTAATTTTTAATAATAAGTATAAATACAATAATAATAATAAAATAATAATAGTAATGATACAACCCAATTGAGATACTATTATAGTTTTATTCATATTCTGAATTAGTTTTTATTTTTATATTTTCTGTTTTCATTTTAATTGTAGTTAGTTTATACGTCTATACCGTTTTCATTGATTTTTATTTCAGTTTTAGTTATTTTAGTAGTAATTTTTAATAATAAGTATAAATACAATAATAATAAAATAATAATAGTAATGATACAACCCAATTGAGATACTATTATAGTTTTATTCATATTCTGAATTAGTTTTTATTTTTATATTTTCTGTTTTCATTTTAATTGTAGTTAAAGTTTTAGTAATTTTGTTTTTGTAATTTCTATTAGTTTTTTTTATTTATACGTCTATACCGTTTTCATTTATTTTTATTTCAGTTTTAGTTATTTTAGTACATCAGAGTAAACTGAAAATGAGATTTTCAGTTAAAGTCTATTTCAAGTGACAACAATATGGTTTTGTTTTTAGTTTTAGTTAACATATTTACACACTAATAAAAACAATGAAAATATAAAAATAAAAGCTAATTCAAAATATTAATAAATATTATAATAGTATATAAATATTACTAAAATATCACTGCTTTGAACTTGGCAACTCGGTTATCATTGACAATTCTCATTATTAAAATTTTCTCAGTATTAATTGTGTATTGCAATTTTTGACTCGACTTTACTTGGTCTTGGCCAGTTGAATTACTACAGAGAGCTGTAAGTGATGTTATTACTCCAGCACAACGCTCAATATTGATTAGGTTTGATTGGCTCATTCCCGTTTATCCGAGCGGTTTATTTGTTGAAGAGCATCAGGCTCATCTGAGCATTGGCTCTCAGGTTGACAGTTAATGGTGGAGATCTGGGACGCTTTACGACGGGATAACAGCTGCGGTCGAACCAACAGACTCTCGGCGGGACATTCAGCAGCATCATTCTGTGCTTCCTGAGAGCTTCAGAACGCTCAAATGTGTGTGAGAGGATGAGATCATAATCACACACATGAGCTCTCCATTCCATTCCCAATTATACCGCGATATTATTACTGTAAAATCAGAATTTGTTTTTGTGTTTTGCTGAAATGTGATTGCTAAGGTGTTGTTATGTGGTTGCCAGTATGTTGTTATGTGGTTGCTAGGGTGTTGAGGATGGTTGCCAGGACATTGCTTAAGTGTTCTGAGTTTTTGTTACGTTGCTATGCAGTTGCTAGGCCATTGTTATGGCATTTCGCCTGTTGCTAGGTGGTTGCTAGGGTGTTTTGTGTTGTTTTGGCAACTAACTGAAATAAAATAAGTTGAAGTACTAAAATTATTCAAACTAAACTATAAACAATTAAAACTGAAATAATATAGCAAAATATAAATATTTTAAAAAAGAAACACGAATAAAAATGATATAAGCAAACAACAAAATTACTAAAAACCGAACTAAAATTAATATGAAAACAGAAAATCTAAAAATAAAAGCTAATTTAAAATATAAATAAATATTACAATAGTATGCAAGTAATACCAAAATAGTAATACTAAAATAATTACAAAAAAAAAAAATTATATTATGCACCAATCTAGGTGTCAAAATTACAAAATGCACAAAAAATAAAAAAATAAATAAAAAAATATATATATAGATCAGTGTTATGAACTAAATCTAAAACTTTTAAAAATCATTTTCATTATTTAAAGCTGAATTCAAATAAAATATTATATATATATTAGATACAAAATATTACATAGAAATATTCGATCTAAAACTGACATAAAATCAAAGTGAAATAATTGCAAAAAAGCAAATTACAAAAAAATTAACCTAAACTAAAATTAAAACTAAAAGTATAAAAACAGAATTTAATTCAAATTATGCATAAATACTATAATTGTATATAAGCAATACTAAAATAGTAAGTAATGCTAAAATAAAAAAAGTATATTATGCAATCATATTTTTGCAGTTTTAAATGTTTTTTATTTTTATTTTTTACACTTACAATATAATGAGCTCACTTCATAAAATTGGTATTTATTTTTATGAATTGGGCCGTGTGTCCACCAAAGTGTTTAGCCAGCTGAAAACGCCCAGCTGTGAGCGCTCGAGAGGTTTTTTTTTTCACTCGAGACGCTTTGGTTGCTATGATACTGAATGTCCACAGAAGTAATGTGGCAGACGCATCGTGAACTAAATGTTGCAAGCATTATTTTTCATATCAATATTCGTAGTAGTCCAGGAATCCCATCTGGTACAGACAAGAATACTCGGAGACGAGCAGCATTAACGTCTCCTCCACTGTTGTTTAGTCGTAGTACGCGCAGAATGTGTTGGTCGGAGTGCTATTAGTCCCGCCCCTCCTCCACTGTGATTGGACGGCTGACTAAAAAGTGACAGTGATGAGCGCTGCGTTTTACCCAAAGATGAACATTCTTCAGCTCTCGGTGGACACGCGGCCTTAAACTGTAGTGGACCCACAAGTATTGGGAACTAACTTCATAAATGCACAGAATGAAGTTCAATCTGAGAAAACAGTTCTGTGCTGATGATGCATGATCAATTGCAATGACATTCAAACATTTATGTGTGTATCCACATAATTTTCCTGTCCATCCAAACTAACAGCTTTCCTGCTAATAAGCTGTAATAAGTATCTTCCGCACATCTGCATCATCAGCACTTCTTCGAGAAGCTCACAAAGTCACCTTGAGCACCTTCCTTTACAATCAGTAGAGAAATTAATTTTGCTTCCAGATTAATTCGCGTCTAATCGATGTTCCGGACGCCTGGAGAAGTGCTGCCAGAATCTGCCGTTTGGGATTTGACCTATAAAATAGAAATATTAGATGAAAACCTTCAACTAAACAAAAACCAGAAATGTTGCTTTGGCATCTAAACGAAGTAAGTTTGTTAAAATACTAAAATAAAAATAAATTAATCTAGAAATATGTGTAAGAAAAACTAATAAAATGACAAAAGCACTACTAAAAATGTAAACTGAAATTAAAATGAACTGAAAATACAAAAATAAAAGCCAATTCAAAATAATAATAATAAACATTATATCCATATATAAATAATACGAAAATAGCACTTTTTCAATTCTTAAATAATGATACATAAAAAATATTAATATTACATGAAAAATTCAAACTGAACGATAATTAGAAATGTCACATTGGCAACTAACTGAAATAAGTTTAATTTAATATGCTAAAATTACTGACTAACTAAAACTAAAATTAAATTAAATAAAGTATTTAGAAATATTAAAACAAATCATAAAAATAAAGGAACATTACTAAAAATTATACAAATTAAATTGTAACTAGAAATATAAAAATAAAAACTAACAACAACAGTATATACAGTAACTAAAACTAAAATAACACCGTTTTTGACCATGAATATATGAAAAAATATCAAATAAATATTAGATGAAAATGTTCAACTAAATGAAAATGAGAAATGTCACACTGGCAACTAATTAAAATAAGCATAAGTTAAAATAATAAAATTACTAACTGACTAAAACTAAAATTAAATAAACTATTTGGAAATATTTTAAATAAAAAAATAAATAAAAAATAAAAACATTACTACATTAGAACAATACTAAAAATTAAACCGATTAAAATGTAAAACTGAAAATATAAAAATAAATACAAAATATAAAAACAAAAATAATACTAAAATAACACCGTTTTGACCTAAAAATGACTGTATAAAAAATATAAAATATAAATATTAGATGATAAACTTCACAATGAAATGTTAAAATACTAACCGAAATAAAACTAAAACTGAAATGAATAAACTATTTATAAATATTTAAAAAAACTGATAAAAACACACTGATCTGAAAATCTAAAAATAAAAGCTAATTCAAAATTCGTTTTTATTATTTTTCACAGTGATATACGAACATATATAATATATATGAATACTGGATATTAAAACATTGTAAAAAACAAACAAACAGTTAAACTGTCAGTCTCTATGTGTGATTAAAAGTGAATCTTAGAGAGATGTTCAGAGTTTTATTCGGACCTCAGGCAGCAGGTGAATGCGCTCATAACAGCGTCTGAAGGGAAGCCCCAGGACGGAGCAGCGGCGGTAGGCCACGGGTGGAGGCTGCAGCTCCAGCATCAGGTCTGAGCGGAACATTATAAATGTCTTTACTGTCACTTTCGATCAATGCAATGCATCCTTGCTGATTAAACATGAGTTTCTTGAAAATGTTCTCTGATATGCTGTGTCTCACCAGTGAAGATGATGGTATTGAGGCTGGATTTGCCCCACAGCTCCATGAAGTGCACCACATCCCCGAAGCGCAGGGACGGGTGACCCGTGAACACCACACACGGCTGCCAGAACTCACTGCTGAAATCTCCATGAATACTGGGGTAATGCTTCAGTTTATTGGTCTGAATCAGCTGCAGAAACCAAGCACATGACAGTCAGTAAATGACAAACAGGTATGTGTCCATACAGGGATGCCTTTTGATGATTTTGCCGTTTTTTTGTACCTCTGTGTGAGGAAAAGACGGCTCAGCAGATAGACCTTAGACTGCTTATTCTGACACAACCTTCAACACAAACACACAAAACAGCCAGAGAATGAGCTATTATTGAGCACTTCTATGGAAATATCACAGCAATAATGAACAGTTACCATGGTAACCATATTATCTGCCAGCATATGATCAACCCAATGAACTTCAGTGACTATTATGAAAACACAAAAACATTTTAAAGAAATTTCTGGAGTGGTATATATCATTAAATCAATATTCAGTTATTAATAATATTACAGATGTCATTAATAAGTCAAATCCCACAATATGTCAAGTCAAGTCAAGTCAAGTCTGCTTTATTGTCAATTCTTCCACATGTACAGCACATACACACAGAGAATTGAAATTGCGTTACTCTCAGACCCTTGGTGCATACAGATAACACTAACAGTAGAACATAAATACAGATAGATACAGATTTAAATATAAAATACAACTATACAATTATACAAATAAGGACCCTTCCGGCCACACTTGTATCAGTTTGTGAACTGGTTTGGTGACTTTAACAAGTGGTCTGTATGCAGGCATTAGCATGACAGTGATGTGGTCTGAGGCACCGAGGTGGCTCATATGACAATGAACTGCAAACAAATCAAATTAATTACATATGATTTTATTAATTTTATTCTGTTAATTTAATATTTAATGATATTGTATTATTCTATATATAGAATATATATAGCTGATTAACTAGAAAAAAATTATTACATATTTATATTTTATTAATTTTAATATTCAATTATTAATTATATTTTAATTGTATGTTACAGATGTGTTCAATAAAACAAAACCAACAATCTAGCCAATGAACAAGAAAAAATTAATTTTATTTTAATTTATTAATTTTTATAATAAAATTTATTAATTATATAATAATAATAATAATATATCATATTACATATGTTTTTGATAAAACAAAACTCACAATATCTAGCTGATTAACAAGAAAAAATATAAATATTAATATAATTTCTAATTATTTAAACATTCTATTATATTAAATTATATTATATTACATATGTTTTTGATAAAACAAAACTCACACTATCTAGCTGATTAACAAGAAAAAATATAAATATTAATATAATTTCTAATTATTTAAACATTCTATTATATTAAATTATATTATATTACATATGTTTTTGATAAAACAAAACTCACACTATCTAGCTGATTAACAAGAAAAAAATATATATTAATATAATTTGTAATTATTTAATCAT